TTTCTGATGATTGGGCCCAAATTGTTCGCTGTGCGCGAGACCGACAGAGAGAGAGAGAGAGGGAGAGAGAGAAAACGTGTGAATAAGAGCAAGAAAGAGTGAGTGTATATTAGGAGTTGATTGTTTCATTTACCGGGCTCGGCGCACCGCCTGGCAGATGAGCAAATTGGCGCGTGCAAAGTCACGCTTCACCACGCACGCCTTGGCCGCCTGTCGCAGCACATCGATCGCAACGCTGGGAGAGATTGATTAAAGAAATCAGCACATAGTCTAGATATGTCTGTGTATGTCTGTGTATGTATGTGTGTGTGTGTGTGTGTGTGTGTATATGTTTGTGTGCTTGCTTGTGTTGCAGCGTACCGTGTGGGCGCGGACATTTCCAAGTGGCGCATGGCCTGCACGCTCCACATGTGACTATTATTGTACTCGTTGCGGGCAAAGTACATGGACGAGATTTGCGTGTAGGCCATGGCAATGAGGGCCGCCGGCACCGCATCCGTCAGCATGCCATTGAGCTCCATCAGTTCGCCAAAGGTCTTCTGGGCCATCTTAAAGTTGCAATGCGACGACTCTGCGTAGAGCAGGCTGCAAGGGGGTATGCCAAAAGATGATTATGAAATTGTGTTCACAAAGGAGAGATCATTTTGTTACCGTTGCAGGCAATCGAGACGCAAGACCAGCTCATCTTTGAAGGGCTGCATACGTTTCAGTCTTTCGTTGAGGCAGGACAACACTGAAATGCTCTCCTGCATCCAGCCGGCCACGGACAGAAAGCTGCCCAGACGCAGACCCAAATCGATGGCCATGATATCCTCATCGGGCAGCGCTTCCATTGGCACTGATTCGGCGGCCGTCTGTGCGCCGGCAGCTTCAGCTGCAACTCCATCTCCAGCCCCATCGCCATCTCCTGCTGCAGCTGCAGCTGCTGCTTGTTTGTCGTTGAGCGTCATGTGGCTCAGGCAGCTGGCGGCAATGTCAATAATTTGCGTTTTATCATAATCAATTTGCGGCAGTGAGGCGGCGGCGGCGGCGGCGGCCTCTCCAGCTCCAGCGCCAGCTCCAGCTCCGGCTTCAGCTGCAGTTCCCAATGCCCCCGCCTTATCGCCATCGGCCTGTTCATTGTACTGTGCCTCTATCTGGGACAGAGCATAGCGGCCCAAATAGGCTTCGCTGAGGCGATGCGGCAGAGTCTTGTTGCTGGCCATCAATGCGGCCACAATGCGCAGCAGCTTGCCCCGCGCCGATGTGTAGCGTACGAGTGGACGGAATACATCCAGATTGGACAGCTCCTCCAAGAGTGTGTCCTTCAGATCTTCGCGCTGTGACATCTACAAACGGAATGCGATCAGAAAAAACAGAGAATTTGAAAATGATAATAGATCGATTAATGTTGTAGATGGTAAGAGCTTTGAGCTTTAAGGCAGCTTTATTCCATGTACGCTCACTTAAGGCTCAAAGCTCTTTGTATTTGAATTATAATGAGCTTTTAATGCTGTACATAAATAACATTACTTAAATGACAAATGTCAACAATATTTTGCATTTCAGCTTTAAGTCAACTTGAGGTTAATCAATATTGTGGATGGTAAGAGCTTTGAGCTTTAAGGCAGCTTTATTGCATGTACGCTCCCTTAAGGCTCAAAGCTCTTTGACCAAAGCTTTGTCCGATCGGATTTGAACCTTCTTTACATGAGATTTTAGATACTTCAACCACAATCGCATAATATATTGTGGACATTTTTTTGTTCCTTTTTATCGCTTGCTGTGAAAATATTTGCACTGTTACACAACACCGTCTTTGATTGCAACAAAAATTTAGCTATTGTCATGACTACGCAAGATTGAGCCGAGAACGAAGCAAATTAGTGTGGGAAAGCGCAAAGTGACTGCTGTGCAAGAGATGCTGTTAAATCAGGGAGAGGTGTGCTATTACACAACACTGAATTTGAGTGCTGCGTCATGCTTATGTCATGACTGTGCATTATTTTCAAACGAGATCAGCAAGAAAAAAGAAAAACAAACAATTATTAGGTGACAAATAGTGTGGGAAAGGAATGCTGGGCGATTGCCAGATCTTTGCTCTGCTGCACAACACTGGCACTTTAAGCTTATTTCATGCATTGTAAACAAATGAGAACGAGGCTATATATTGCAGTGATACTCAACACTACATTTTGAGTAAGAGGTCATGATGATACATTTTGGTAAGAGAATGAGTACGAAGCAAACAGGCGACAGTGGCTAAAAACAACTATTTGAGGGAAAATGAAGAGAGAAATGCGAGACTTTTACTGTCAAGTATTTAAAATCGAGCCAAACTTATCTCGTGAAAGGCCGTTAATAAGACCCGTACACCAAGCCAAGAGGGAAAGCAAACAGTGCTCAAAAGTATGAGTGTGGGTGCTGTTAAAATTGTAAGGCTATCTCTTGCACAACACTAGCTGAAAATGTCGTGGCAACGAGACATAGGACTTATCATAAGGGTTATTTATATCAGTCGAGAGCTAAAGGAGTCAGTGTTGAAAAAGAGATGCTTAAGCTGTCAGATTTTGGTAAAGATAGCTATTATACACCACTGAGTTTGAAAGCCTCATCACAGTAGGATTATGTTGCATAGCTTAAGGATCTAGTGTTTTATAAGCCAATTAATGTCAGTCGAGAGGAAAAGCAGCCAGTGTTGACAAAATTGAATGACCGTGGAGTAAGTACTACTGTTCAATCTAAGCCAAGCTCGCTGCTGTACAACACTGGTCTAAGCTGTCTAAGCTTTATGATCAGCCAAGACAAAAAGAAGCTAGAATTGAAGAATAAAAAGTATTGTGCAATTGTTGCACAACACTGGCTTTGAAAGCGGATCTCGGCGTGCCTTATAACAGTCATGGACGGCCATTTTGTAGAACTGATAACAAGCCGAGTTGAATGGCTGCGCCCTAGAAGGATGCCCGTCAAACGAGCGCACCGACAGAGCGAATGCGCTATTTTTAGCCGGCGACAAGCAGCATCATCAGCTGCTGCGGCCGGCCACATTGTGGTTGCTGCTGCTTATAATTAATATTGTAATTGCAGAGCTATTATGACAGGCAATTTGTGTGCGTGTGCGTGTGTGAGTATTGAGGCATGCGAGCAATGCCGAAGCGTACATGCCCTTACGCAGCGAATGTTGTTTAAATTAAGATAGAGTGTATAAACAACAGTTTATTAAAGATATCATATCGCACAGCTATGTCAATGATATCTAATGCCATGTGGTTTCAGACATAATTTACATACATACATACAAGCACACACACACACGCACACACATACACAGTTGCGCTCGTGCCAGCTGTGCGCGTTTACCAGAAGCTTCTACGCGTAAACATAAACAGTGGAAAGCTTTTCGCTTGGCACGAGCTTTTTGGTTTCTTTGTAGCTCAAACAAATAAAATTTCCCTAACTGTATATCAAAACAAAACACCAAAAATTGTTGTCCTGCTGCGCGAACCAGAGAAATAAGAGAAACGGCAAGAAAGTGCCGTAACAGCGCAGCGATAAGCAGCACGCACAGAGACACACAGACGCACATATACACACACACACACGCACACATGCTTGCGGGTGCATGTGTCGCAGCTGATTTTGTTATTCATTTTTTTTGCAGCCTCTTTCTGCGTGTGTTTTCACTTTGTTTTCTTTTGAGAGGAAACAGAGGAGCAAAACTTACCAGCTCGTAGACATCGATCAGCAGATTGCGCGGCAGCTCCGGCAGCTTGCTAATGCGCTCCAGTGTCGGCACTTTGCAGTCCAGGCCGTTGACAACGGCCATCAATGACAGATCGTACAGTGGCTCGGGGCTGTTGTTGTTGTTGTGCCCGGAGGCCGATGACATCAAAGCCAATAGCTGCTGTTGTGCAGCCATTTTGCTGGTTGTCTTTATTGTTGTTGTTTTTTTTTTTGTTTTGTATATTTTTTTTTATGTTTTTCTGTTTCTGTTGTTTATTGTTTATGTAGCTCACTTAGTTTCTTTGGGCTTTAATTGCTAAACAAAAGCAGCTTTAGCATATAAAAAAAAAAAAAAAGAACCTGTCGCGCACGGGGGGAACAAGTTGTAGATCTCTGTGTCGTATGCGCGCAAAAATCACAAAACAGGGGAAAAAATAGTTAAAAGAACGAAAATATGTTAATTTTACAAATTAGGCATTGCCACAAGTGCCCGTCGAAAGCTAAATTATAACTGTCAATAAGTTGCAGTGACGCACGCACGCACGCACTGTGGCTGGCAACAGTAACAGAGCGACAACAACACCAAAGCAGTAGCACCAGCAGCAGCAGCAGCAGCAGCAGCAGATGACACTTGCGCTAACTTCACTTTCTTTTGAGACGTTCTTCGTTTTTCCTTTCTTTTTTTGTTGTTGCTGCTGCTGCCCAGTGCTTGGCACCTGCGGTCAATTTCACTGCTGCTGCCAGAGACAAGTTGCTCTTTGTTACAAACACACAAACACACGCAAATAACACAGAGACACACACACACATACACCAATCACACGATACGCACAGCAGGTCCAAAAAACTTGCTGAATTTGATTTGTTTTCTTGTTTTTAATTTTTTGAGCACTTACACAATATTGAATGCATTTAATTGTTGTTACATGTACTAAATTGCACGTCAAACTGCCCGCCTACTGCACTTCTTGCACCGTTGCAAGTATTGCAATTGATGTTCTTTTTTTTATGTTTCGATTTTATGCCAAAAAAATTTTTATTATTTGACTTGGGGATGATAGCAGCAACAACAATAGCAGCAGGAATCGCCAGCTTACCAATCTGGCAATTTATCGATATTTTCTGTCACCTAACAGTGCGCTGTCACATAACAACAGGCCAATTTGTGTGCGTTAACAGAGAACAGAACAGTTGTGCGTTAACAGAGCGCATTTGTGCGTTAACGGCCTTCTAACTGTCGAGTTTGAAATTTCCGTCAAATTTTTGGTAAATACTTAATTTTAAAAGCCAATACGCGATAGATTTTAGTTATTTATTGAATCAGTGGCTGCTACATACATAACGCTGGTGTGTGCCTGTCACTCTGATCGATATGTTGGGCAGTGCAATTTTGCATGGTTTTCAACCGAATGCCGTTATGCTAGTCTTTGTTTTATTGATCAACTTCACAATTTTGATTTTGTTACTAAATATTTGTTTATACTGAAAGAAAGAAAAAAAGAATGAATAATACGGCCTACTCGTATAGCTAGGCGGCAATCAACCTATTTTGATTAATTTATCTAAAGATAAAGCTGCCAGCTTGATTTACTTTTTGTCTGTTATTTTTTTCTCTTCTCTCTTCTTCTTCTTCTTTTTTTTTTAAATATAATTTTTTGTACCCTAAAACAGGTCAAAGGAATCGTCTTCAACCTCCACTAGCCCAAAATCGTTGGTGCTGCCGAACATCCACCAATGCCGCAGTATATTGCGTATGAGCAAGAAGCGGGTCGTCACAAATTCAAAGAAATGAAAGAATAGGGCACTGGACGTGAGCAGTGCACAGGAAGCGACAAATACCTCCTGTACCGTTAGCTGCTCCGTGCTGCCCTGATTTAGATTATCCATGCAATGCAGGACCTGTACACAAGTAAAGAAGCGCAGATAAGCATCGATCGCTCCAATTAGAATTTGTCGCCACAGTCGATGCCACTTGGTGCAACCGCTCACCTGCTGCAGAATGACATGGGCGAGCGGCATTAGCGAGGCACTGAACAGCACATGCTTCACGATCATGCCGCAGCAGCGGCCGCAGCAGAAGGCGCGCACCATTTGCTTAACGCTCGCCCGATCCGCGGTTATGTTGAACGGGGCATTGCAGATCTCGCAGCGATTGTCCCGTCTATGCATTATCCAACGCTTCAGGCACTTCAGATGTATATAGCCCTGCATAGATGGGATTACAATATGCCGCACACTCTCTCTCTCTCTCTCTCTCTCTCTCTCTCTCTCCCTCTCTCTCTCTGTCTGTCTGTCTGGTGAACTTACCACGCTGCCCTTGCACTTGCAGGGACAGTTGATGATCTCCATGTCGCTGCGATTCCAGCGACAAATGCGGCACGAATTGCCAAATTCATTGGCCGAGTGGACGCTCTCCTGCGATGCCTGACCCGGCCCGGATGTTGGCAATACGAGTCCCAGCTGTGTGGCACCAACACAACCGCCGCCGCCGCCGCCGCCGCCGCCGGCGCCGCTGCTGCCGCCGGTGCCGCCGGTGCTGCCGCCGGTGCTGCCCCCAGCTATGCCACACGTGCCGCCCGCCTCGCTTGGATTCTGCATCTGGACGTGGGGCGTTGCCAATGTCTGGGGCGTGACAGCGCCAGCCACAACGCTGTTGAGCAGCCGCAAGGCGGTCGCCTCCGATAGCTGCTGCTGCTGTTGTTGCGGTTGCGGTTGCGGTTGCGTCTGTTGCGGTTGCGTCTGTTGCTGCTGCGACTGTTGCTGCTGATGCGGATGCTGCTCCTGCTGCTGTGCCATCTCTGCTTCAATGCGCAACAGACCGCTTTCTGCAGTAATCCAGGCTGGGGATGTGGGGAATTGCGCTTGGTGTGGTGGGTTGGTGGTTATGTAAAGACTTTGTGTGCGCGTAACGAACTAAATTTTGATGTACGAATTTCACACGTAATTTTGTTTGGACATTTTACACAAAACTTAACGTTAGACTTTCACAGCATGGCTGAGATTAGTTTCGGTTATGTTTCACACCTCTACATCTGACAGCTGCCCTTATGCCAACTATACATCAATATTCTGTGCGCCAATTTCAATACAAAATATATATAATACATAACCTCACTAATTACGCTCTTCGTTCAACATAACCTCACACTGCGCGCATTTCACTCACAATTTTAAGGTTATGTTGTTGCAATGGCAGTTGACAGTCCATAGAGATATATATATTAGAGCAACAATTAAGCATATCTAGCCGACTAGCAGATACCCTAAACTCTACGCCCTAACTCTCTACTCTACCACTAAAAACATTCTAGCTTTCTTTTATGCATACATAGCGAATACAACACACACACACACACACACACGTTCACATGCTCCAGTCATGGGAATATATTATTGCATGGCGTCGGCTCGCATTGTCCGATCTTAATCGAATTTACAGCGCATCAAAGTGACGCCCAAGTGCATGTAATGATACTTTCGAGATATCGATATGATAAATGAATCATTTTCAAATTCAAGTCTCTATTGTTGTTCTTAATGCGTTTACACCGCGTTACATATATTTGCACAAAAACTATATACCCCTTTTCCCCATTTACAATGGTTGCAGGGTATAAACATGAAAAAATTAAAAGACCTATGTAAATATTAAAATAAACAAAAGAGCAAGAATCTTGAATATTGAATACCCTGTACAAATGTAGCTTACAAATGCTTCCATATAAATAAATACCCTGTAAAAATGTGGCTTGAAAGTGTTTCTATATAGATAATACTCTGTAAAAATGTGGCTTGCATATGCTACTATATAAAAGCCTTTCCGAACAATTGATCCTATGTGAGCCATATGAGACAGAAGTCCGATTGTGAGAAGATGTCGAAGCTCGTAAGGAGGAGGTAAGCTTCGACAAGGAGGAGGTGGCGACTTTACATGACAACTTTCTCAGCTGGCACGTGAATATTGTTGACTCTTAATCGGTCCAAATGGTTTCAACTGTCCTGGATGGTTGACTTGAAATATCGACTATAGCTAACTTATAGTTTATTAAAAATAAGGCGGAACCTTTGGGTGGCGTGTTTTTTTTTTTTGTAATTTTGCCAGCCGTTAATTTCCCACTAGCATCGATGCAGCAAAGCGCAAGGCAAAGTATCGTTTTAGTATTTTTGTGGCAAATAATAATCGAACAGCTGGTCATGTGAAGTGTTGCTTGCCAGCTATCGATACATATCGATAGGCTGTGAACATCCCTAACTAACGCGACTCAAGACCAACAAAAAAACGCTGCTTTTGGAGACAAATCAAACGGCGGTGAACAAGCGCGGACCGCAACGCAGCCAAAGCCAGCAACAATTGAAATAAACAACCAACAAAATTGTATGTTTGCCTAAACGCGCGCAGAGTGCAACGTTGTTATAAAACTCGCTGTCAACGCCACTGCAACAAGAACAACCGTCGCGTCGCGTAATAATAAAAACGAAAACAGTTGTTTGTGTTCTTCAGCAGCGCTGGTGGTGGTGCTGGCCGCAGAGCAGCGATGCAGCAGCTACAACAAAATCAAAATTAACCGTTTTCGTTGTTTTTTGCGCGTAAAAACACTAAAGTTTAAATTTAGAGTCTGCAGCCATCAATAAAAAAACGTAAGTGCAGTGAGCTCACAAGCAAGAGTCTGTGTGTGTGTGTGTGCGCGCGCATTGTGCAATTGTAGAACAACAGTTAAATAATTAAAGTTCATTTGAATGCGCGTTGCACTATTTGCTAGCTATAGCTGTACATTGTGTGCGAGAGAGCGTGTGCGTTTGTCTCTTTTTTTTGCTGGTATGCATGCATGCATGTGTGTGTGTGCGTGCGTGTTTGTGTGTGTATGCAGCTGGCCACACGCTCTGCTGCTATCTGCCTAGCTCTAGCAGTGCGTGCGCTTGCCTCAGTATTTGTGTGCGTGTGTGTAAGTGCACAATAAGCCAAACAACAACAAACGGAATTACTGCAAATTGTTTAATTAAATATTTAGTCAGCAGCAGCCGCTACTAAATCAATTGCTGGCGCTCTCTCTTGGCCACTTAGCTTGGCCAGTGTCCTTGACATGGTTACGTTTTCCGTTACGCTTTTGCACTCTAAGCAGCGAAGGGAGGGGGGCGTGCTTGTCTTTCTCTCTCTCGCTTTGTGTGTGTGTGTGTGTGTGTGTCTATCGATTGCGCTGCCTGCTGCTCCTGCCTTGCCTCTCTCGCGCACTCAAGTCCGCTTGCGCTCTCGCTTTGGCCCAAAAAGGGGTGGCAAATTATTTTGTTTTTTTTGTTGTGCTTTTTTTTTTTTTTTAATTCTGTTGTCATGGCACATGTGAACCGTTCCGTTGTTGTTGCAGCACGCCTCTTATCATATTCCCACACATGTCCACAACGCTCGTCGCGCTGCTGATAAGACCAACGGCAACCGCAACTGCAGCCGCAGCGTAGCAGCAGCCGGAGGCGGATGAGGTGTGCGGTTATTGTAACTTGTCAGCCCATATACCCCTCCCTTGTTCCCTCCTTCCCTCTCCACTCCGCACACACTCACGACGTATTTATAGCCGCCAAAGTTCAAGTGCAGCCTTCTATCGCTGTGGGAGCCGCAGCTGTGCCCCAGTTGGTGGCTCCGCTTTGTGGCATTATCTCAGCGTCTATAAATGTCGAGCGGCTGTTGTCGACTTTTCCTGACCTTCGGCTCGCAATGGAAACAGCACCACAGCCACAACCAGTGCTCCAAGCAGCTTCCAAAAATAATCTACAAAATCACAGTGTGCACACGCTATATGAAACCTATTGATGCTGAATTCAAACAGTAGCTACAAGAAAGATAAAATGAATAGAGTTTGGTATATTTTTCAAAAGATATCACGGGAATATTTTCTCTTTATATAAAGCACATGTAGTATGAAAAAACTTGAAAAATCAATAGTTCGAATTTTTAAATTATATTTTATATGTTTATTTAAATAAATTTATTAAAAAACTCTCTTCTGGGCGAGAAGTAAGATAATAATCAAATCTTAATCTTAGACTTAAACCAAGTTAAGTTTTTATAACAGTTATTACAAATCTCTGTCCGAGTTATATTTTATTGAGTGTTTACTTTACAATTTGGTAAAGTATAGTTTTTATATAGTTCACAAAGCACATTCTATGTACTGCCCCCCTCTCTCTCTCTCTCTCTCTCTGTCGACGCCTATTCCTATCCTTTTCATAGAAATATGCGTGGTATGGAAAATAATGCGGGCTTACTAATTTCAACGCCACGTAACGCTTTTGGCTGTGCTCTAAGTTTTTGGAATTTCGCAATTTCGGCCCAACTTTTGGGCATTATATACCCTGTAGCCAGCGAAGAAGAGGGGTGCTGAAGAAGGTGCGTTCACAGGCCTGCATATATGTACTGATCTGATGGGTATGTCTGGCCATGTCCGTCTGTGTGAAAGCGTCGACCTTACAGGGTATTGAGAGCAAATCTTGAATATCAATTGGGATGCGAATGGCAGCGTGTAGCTGTCTGCAGGGTATTTGCTAGTCCGTCCATTATTGTTTTCTTGGTGGATACCTTTTTTTGGGAGGCAACAATCGTAAAAGAATGTTTGCCTAAGGCCGTGCCGGCTCTAACTGTACAAATAAATGAAAAGCTTTGGTGATGCAACCTGCGTTTCCAGTGAAGCTCAAGGCCTGCCCCCCCCCCCCCCCCTGCTGCTCCCTTTACTACCAATTAAGCCCTCCCTCCCCACCGAACGCTGTAGCACTTGTTGCTTATCGAGTCATAGCTGGGCGCGACATGTTCAAGCAGGCAGTCCCAGGGATTGACTCATTTAGCATTTAGCTGCTGCCCGCATTGTTTATGTTTGTGCCGCGATAAGGCCTTATCAGCACAGCGCAGGGCCCGAAACGCGGCTTACGGCTGAACCACCCCAAAAATGGCCATACATATGTGCCCTAATGTTTACCTGCCCTTAGCAGCAGCTCTACCTGCCACAGCCTTAAATGTCAACTTGCCGATTGTGCCGAGTCAGTCAGTTGATGTTTGTCTACGTAGCCAGTTCGATAAATTTTCCATAAATACATATATATATTTATATATATATATGTATATATATATTGATATATATATATTTATATATATATACATATGTACATCTGTATCTCTGTATATAGCCTACAAATATATTTTCTATGTAAAATCCTTAAAACCAAAAAATATATATAAAATTCCACAAAAGTTGAAAGCACGCTTGCCCAAAGACGATCACTGTATGTATGCCTGTGTGTGTGTGTGTCTGTTGTGCGTGTGTGTGTGTGTGTGTGTAGATATCTGTGAGTGTGTTAGTGCAAACGCGGAAGTGTTTCAAGCTGCTTGCATTTCACGCTGCGCTAGGTACGTATAAGACAAACCCCTCCCCCCACAGGCCACCCTTTGATTTGTGTTATTTTCTTGTTTTTCATATTTTCCTATAGTTTTGGTTTTTCTATAGCCCCGGCGATCAGGCAACAAGCAACAGTTAACGCCCATTAACTAATTACCAGTAAGCACGTCAAGTGGGCAGCACTGGACCCGTGCCAACACTTGGCAGCACTGGCCAGAAGCTTTCAAATACCTGGCCCATCCTCTCAGTATGCGCGTCGCATGCGTTGCGCATAACATTCGAACAACATGACAGCCGTTACAAATGGACAGCAGAGACACTGACGGACGGACGGACGATCGGACGGGCGGACGGACAGATAGATACTCTATCTGAATGTGTGATTGACACGCCCACCAGCCCATTGGCAACTGGCTGAGCCCAGCCATCCAGCCAGCCAGCATTATAAGCTGCCCACAACAAGCAAACACTCACACGCTCACACTCTCTCTCGCCCTCCCTCCCTCTCTCTCCCTCTCTCTCTCTCTCACTGTCTCGCCCGTCCTCTCTCCCACATTTTGGCCATATCTTTGAGGCCTAGAACCACGTTGTGCACCATGCTGGCAGACATTGATTAATGAGCTGGCTTGCAAACTGTCGACCAAAAAATAAATTACAATT